CCACAACCACCACCGTCACCGCCATCACCGCCATCACCGCCATCACCACAACCGCCACCACCAACACCAGCAGCAGCAGCAGCAGCAGCAGCACCAGCACCAGCACCAGCCCCACCGCCGCCGCCGCCGCCGCCGCCCCTACCCCGCATTGAAGCCGTCTCATTTCATGCTGATGTCCTTGGACTTCATTTGTCGTGATGCAGGGAATAAGCACACTCCTTGGTGCCGCGCTGTCCGCTTCACTTTGTCTGATTCGACTAGACATTCAGGCGCGGCCATAAGACCGACTCAACAGTACTGATTGGGTGAGAAATTCCAAGGTCAGGTCCCAGCTGTCCTCTCTTGGTGGCTTGTTGTTTTCTTTGTTTCAGTTGTGTCCTTCCCCTTCTTAAGCCCGGCCCGCCAGTCGGCTCGCGAACCTGATAATCAAGCAAGACGCGTCGAGCCTCCCAAGCCTCAGGTTGAAGCTATATAAAAATATACTATAATACACTGTAATGTACTATAGTATACTATAGACTGTCCAAGTCTTGGCACCATGGGGCACATCTCTAAAATCTGAAGGATCTCATCGGGAATTCCTCACGCTTCAAGGGCACGAACAGTATCGCCATCGGCCTAAAACCAGATCACGGCCCCTGGTTATAGGCAAGGCTACCCCTGGCAGACTTGCAAGTGAGTTTTTTCTCCAACATGACTAAAAACTGAATCTGTCAGTCTTTCTCCCTAATTTCAAATTCAGCTCTACTAAGCCTCTGTGGCAGAAAGGTGCAGAAGCGCATCGCAAAGCCCAAAGAATCCAACTTGGACATGTCAGTATGAAGCGAGCATAAATCGGATGGCATCACAAACGCCCTACACCTACGGTAGAAGCCAAGTTGCCTTTGGCTGCCGGCTTTAGGTCGGCTGCTGCGTCCAACATGGCACAGCTGCGTTCTTCACAGTGTCCATCCTTGGGTTGGAGGCAGCTGGTGAGGGGCAATCAGCGGACTTCAAGACAGGCACGTGTCAGTGTGAGGGCCACCAGCGACGAGGTCTCGGGCTGGCACCGCATCACACGACTTTGCCATGCAGAACTTGCCATCCTCTGCCTTCACCTCAGTCCAGCATATCCAGCAGCAGGTATGGCGACACGTGCTGATTTCAGCTCAGCTTGCCTTGCCCTCAACCACGCTCAGGAGGCTCGCCCCGAGCAACAAGGCAAAGGCCTCAATGTCAATACAGCTGAGAAACATTTCACCAGCATGCAGCGTGCGAAGCACAACCTAGGCTTTCCGATGAGGCACAGCATTCGCCATGCGGGCCGCCATGGCTGCCTACCCCTTGGGCCAATATCTTTGCAGCGGTGCCGGCTGCATACAGCTGTTTTGATGAAGACCTGCAACACATCACTTCGATGTTACTTATCCAGCACTGGGCGTGCCACGCATCATCGGACTGTCGCACGGCCTGGAGACACCCGAGGCGAACAGCGGCCACACACGAGGAGAACAGCCGGACATGTAGACTGGCAAGTGCTCGGCCCCAAGGTCTGGATCATCAAAATCCACCTTTAACCAAGCCTCAGCAAGGTCATCTGAGACAAAGCCACGGGCTGGCATTCAAATAAGCAAGCTCCTGGCGCAATAATGAAGTAAAATTATCCACCCGACATGCTCGCCGTGCGGAGGCTATGTGCTGCATACACAGGAAAACCCACTGTCTGTCAGATTGTTGAGGATGCCGGGGTCATGACCCTGTCGGTTGGAGCCTGATGCTGCTTGAGCTGCATTGGGACCTTGGACGCTCAGCTCCGTTGCATCTTTCATCGGACTAACCCAAGAAGTTCTGCGCCTTGAAAATGGATCCTATCAACATGACGAGGAACTTCAAGCTAGGGTCCCGTGCTAGGATCTGCGCATCGTGATATAGGGGCACATCCTGAATTGTTTAGACATCTTCAGAACAAGAGCCATGCAACACCAATCAGGAGGCCTTATCCTTCTTGGTCTGAACCTGAGCGAGAAGAAGTGTTTCCCAAAACAGCACTCAAGATTCACAGACTGATCGTCTGGCATATATCTTTTTCAGCTAGTCTCCTGGGCGCATCATGCCAGAAAGATTATTCGGCCAAACAATGGGTTTGAATATCATTTTCTCGCAAGATCGTCAGGAGTCTCACCAGCATTGTTGCGCAAGACACTTGAGGCCCCATGGGCAAGCAGGGCAGCTGCAGCCTCCTTCCTCCCATGAACTTGAGCACAATGAAGTGGTGAACACCCGTCCTTTGCACGCAGTACATTGGCACTGCAACGTGCCTGCAGCAGAAGAGTGACAAGCCTGGCATGACCGGCGTTTGCATAGCCAAAGAGCAAGCTGTCCTTTACATCCTGGCACATGCCCTCAGAGAGCGCCGTGGTAAGAGCACAGCCGCTAAGATCATCATCTTGGAGGCGCAGAAGGCGCCGCTTCTGGGCAGAGGCAGAAAGGCCAGCGTCCGATTGCGCTGGTAGTATTTCACGAAGGGCTCGAATGGCATTGATTGTAGCTGACATACCCGACTGCCCGAAGTGGAAGTCCTTGCCCACAGCTCTATAAGCCGCGTCTTTGCCAAGCGAAAGCCGAGCACACTCCAGCAGCACATGACCCTGTTCCCGCAAGGCTCTCAACTCGGGAGCGCCTGGTATTCCCAATGGCTCCTTGGTTCCCTTTTTCGCTTGTTCGCTTGAGGCGCACGAGGTGCAGTGCCAAACAGCGTCCCCGGCGGACAAGAATCGAAATCCTGTTTGTGCAAATTCTCCACAGGCTGGACAAGTGTAGCGTAGCTCCAACCGACTACGCCCGTCAGTTGCGAAAAGGTCCATTTTCTTGCCACAGAAGCACCAAACTTCCCAACCTTCGGGAGTCGATTGGGGTCGACGTGCCAGGCCATCAGTCTCTGCGAGTTTGCAAAAGTCGCCAGTTGGAGCACACCAGTGGAAGTCCAAAGCAGAGTCATTGGCGCGAAAGTGAATAGGCTTTTCCTGGTCAGACTGGTAAGCAACTTCCCTTTCAACATGTTGCTTCACAAGTAACATTTGCCAACACTAACAGTAGGCATCCACCGGTCCACCCTGAGAAAAGAATCCCCTACTGTAAGTACTCTTGAAGCGTTGCTCTGGAGCAGGAAGAACCCATGACTGGATCATGAGAAAGTCAGCAGAGCCCGCCGCGACTGGCAGAAAGTCTGGGCCCGGGGACGGTCCACGAGCACGCTTTGGAGCAGGCTCTGCAGGCTCTGGCTCCATGGCTTCCGCTTGCCAAAATTGCGTAATCAAATGCAAGGAGAGCCCGAAAAAGCTGATAGCTGCGTAAGAATGACAGGTTGCGGGCTTCGCCATGTTTGAGGTACACATGATGCGACGCTAGCGCATTGTACATAAATGAACAACAAAATCAAAATCCCTTGAATCCAACTCGCCAAAGAAGGTGGGGTCAAAACCCTTGTGTCGTAGCAGCTAGACACAACAAAAATGATAGAAGCAGCCACACATCAGAGAGCGTAGACAAATATGATCAAATATGTGATGAAGGACGCTAGGCAATGCGCTGCTCCTGTCCGCCTCTCCTGCCATTTCCTCTCATGCTCCTCCCTTTGCTCGCTCCCTGCTGACTCGTCTTTCCTCGCTCAGTCTTTATTAACTCCATCTCCTCCATCCTGGCTTTCCTCCCTCCTTCCTGTCCTCCCTTTTCTATGAACCTGGAAATTATTATCCTTATGAACATTGACCGATCCCGGTGACTGTTGACACTCTTGACCCAAAGCATATGACAGGCACGCACATTGCGACCCGGACACGTGGATGCCGCTTCCGGGCCCCATGACTGTTGAGACACGACGAACATAGTATGGCGACCCGGCCTCTTGGAAATGGTTCGCGACACCGTGTTCATGACACTACGAACCAGGTCTGTAATCAGTGCTTGCCATTCAAAATCATTCAAAGACTTCGGCACGACGACCACCACCTCCACAACCACCACCACTGCGATGAACAAGATGGCATGACGACAATAAGACAATGACGAAGCCGACGCATACGCCCATGCATATGGCGGATGCCGACGACTAGGACAAGAAGAACGCGCAAAACAAGATCAATCAACAAAAAGAAACAAAAAAAGGCGGACGCAACACTCAAACTGAAACTTACTAACCGGATTGCTGAATTCAGTTGGGGCTGTCAAGCAAGGACACATTACCAGCGCAAAGTCTGATGCTAGGCCTAAGACTAAGACCCTGCAGGATGGGAACAGACCCCAGCCCAATGATCTGCTGGAAACCCAAAGCTCAGCTTGCAAACTCCTCATCATAGTCTCAGCACGTTTTTCTACCATCGGACCACGTTGCCCGTTGACGAAGCTGACAAGACGTGCTTGTTCAGGAGCTGCGATGCAGGTAGGCGTGCAGCGGCAACGGCAGGCTTTGGGCCGGAGAGAATAACCTGGCTTCCAAAACAAGAAAGGGTGACCCGAGTGGGAGCTCATGCGTGAATAGTGGACCTATCCAAACAGAAGAAATTTGCCTAAGCTGGAAGAAGATAGCCCGAGCTGGCCGGCAAATCTGGAGCTCGACGTCAAAGTCCACACTGAAGCTTGCAAGATCTGCCCGAAGGCTTGACAAATCCAAGCCATCTGTCCCGGGCAAATCTCCCCAAGTCTCGCAATGTGGTTCCAGTAGCACATTTGCACCATCTTGAAAGCACTGAGCAAAAAGCAGCTCACAGTCCTCCCGATCATTGACATCATACAGCGGATGCCATGTTTGGCCGGGCGCCTGTATTTGTCGGATACAATCACCCAAACGCAGACCAGCCTGTCCGGGCAAGTCCTCTATCTCATCGACAATCATCCCGTACCAAGACGGCCGCAGATGAATGCCAGCGCCGTACTCAGAAGAGACTTGCAAACGGATCTTGCGCGGGGCTTCGCACTCCGACTGGCTCGGCGATGCAAATTCAAAGCGTGCAGGCACAGCATCTGGATAACCATGCCTTAACTGAGGAGTCCCACCAGAGGATGACGCATGCAACTTCCATACCCCAGTTCCATCGCAATCCACCAGTCCCAGAGATTCAAGCTGTCCAAGAACAAAGGCCAGCGCATCTTGCGGTGAAAGTGTCATGTCCACACTGATATGCCCATGAAAGTCCGCGACCTCCTCCTCCACAACACGTTCCATCAGCTGCGAGGTGCGGCGTAGGATTGCTGACAGGTCCGCCCTGGCCGATGAGACGATAGCAATGCACATCAACTTGTGAAAGCATGCCAGACCATGAAAATGTCCTGGCTAATCCGCTATGTCACCATATAGGCCTCTGATGGCCTCTATTGCACCTGAACTCTTGAAGGATGACGGGGTAAGGAGTGTAAACGGATCAACACACAGCCCTTGCAAAGGTCAGCCTCGTCCCTGGGAGCGTCTGGTGGTCGCCACGGTGAAGTATGCGAGATTCGCAAAGCGCAAGGGCGGCAGCTCCAGCATCCTGGCCTCTTCACGCAAAAGGAAAGCAAACGCAAAATCATCCCTAGAAAATCCCTGGACGGATCCTCATAATCATAATGATTTCGTAGCCCCAACGCCACGACGCCACGCCCCGTGGTATGGTTCTTCATCTGGGAATGAGGTTAGTCCCATAAACCCCACGAACCCTGACCTCCCCATAAGACCTCTCTAAACCCTCTTCTAAATCCACTATACACCCTCGCCACGGGATTTCAGACCATAGGCCACAGGACCAGCGGGAGGGTAGCCCTTAATAACCTTTATAAAAGCTCCAGAAAACTCTTTAACCTTTGTACGAGAATACACGCTGAGCACAAAAATCTGTGGCAACAGAGTTGGGTTTTTGGGCAGCTTCTCAATCGAAATTTCCCTTGTAATTAATGGGCCCATCTTAGACAATATCTTTAAAACTATATTAAACTAGCACAGGTCAAGTCTCCAAAACTCCACAAGATCTTATCATCATGCCATTATCACCATCCGCAAAACGCCTTCAGAAAAACCTCTTGAACCTTTTATTCACCTGCTTCAAAAGCCATGAACACCTTGCAAACCTTCTACAAGCCTTGTGGGGTGGAGGGGGGCCCGCGAATGCTGCGCATATGTGTATGTATGTATGCATATATACATATATGCATATTGTTGCCACGCCCTGAGAGCTGTTGCTCCTGCAGGGTCTCTCGGATGGTGCAGCGACAGCAGAACTGTGCTGCCTGGCCAGCCAAGCTTCAAATGGAGCAATTTCTGACACAACAAATACCTACTGCATCCTACTGCCAACTCCGAAAAACATGACACGGTTATGTACAATGTAAAGCCGTAAGCCAGTGCTGCTATGTTTCCATTGCCATCCAGCACTTCCAAGATCTCTGTTCGATGACGACGGAGCGAATTGACGCGATCCAGAACCAGCACAGGCGCAATTGCCTGCCTGACCTGAACATGGAGTCTGAGACATGAAGGCGCCGCTATGCCTCCTGCGCCAGAAGCTACCTCTAGTGGATGTAGGTCGCGTTTGCTGACAGGGCTATGGTTTCACGATAAATCAAGCTGGCCAAATGCCTCTTCCAGGAATGCCGAACGCCTCGCATCCTTGCCCTGACTTGCATATTCGTCTTGACCTTGCCGCATTGCTTCGCACCACACCCACTACACTGCATGCACACACGATTGAAAACGCGACCCCAAAAAATGTCCACCAAATCAGCTGGCACACTAATGCAAGTCGCGTTGAGCTCAGCAGCCAATGCTTGTGCCAGCGTGCTTTTTCCAGAACCCATGATCCCGCGGAGAACCAGCCTGGCGGGCAGTGATTTGGACTGAAGCTCGGCTATTATCCGAGGCCGGCAGCCTGGGGCGATTTGATCTGTAGCTGAGACCTGGTGCTCAGCTAATGTCAGCTTGTTGCCTCACAGTAGGTTGGAGTTTTGTTAAAGCCCCGCCCTCGGGAAAGATTAAGGAGCCCGGGGGGGGCGTTGGTTCTGCATGGCGCTACAAGGACACATGACAACATCTGCAGGGCTTTGCAACATTTCGAGGGGCTCATGCAGCTTCTGCGGTTGCAGTTAAGGTCGATCAGGCGCTACATTGAGGCATTCCAGTCTGTAGCTCCATGCACGCGGCCTCAGCTGCCAGCTGCTCCGTCGTTGCACCGGCCGACTTTCAGGTGCGGCAGCAGCAACGGGAACTCCAGAGATGCAGCTCTCGAGGGTTGCCAGCAGAACTTCGCTGCTGATGGGAGTGTTCCTGAGTTCAATGAAGGCTTGTGCTTACTTGCCCCAACCAAAGACCATGCATCTCAGAAAAACCTGGTAAAAGCAAGGCCTACAGTCTGAGAGGCAGCTCCTGCTGCCTGCCCCAGGCGACAAAGACAGTGTCCACTGAGGCCTCCCGGGTTCCTTTCTCGGTGTGCCTCTTAATGTCAGCCACAACACCGCCAACATCAATCTGGGGCCCTGCTCGCAGAAGACGTTGGCAAGCCTGACCGAGGCCAGTTCCCCGACATGTGGGAGATTCTTACTCAGCATGCATACCAATCAAGGGCAAATTTCAACAAAATAAAATGGTAGTGCTTGTTGCAGTGACCTCTGGGCTTGTCAAGGTGACCAACGCACAGCCAATGGAGTCATGCTTCTGGACATGAAGTATGTGCTGTGACTTGGTGAGTGCTGTTGACATCTGCTCCCGCATCTGATCGATCATCTGCCTGCCGCCTCGGAGCACCTCGCTGTGATCAAGCTTCAGGATCTCCTTCGAAGAATACACTATAGTAGTTTCCATTTTCTTTTCCAGTATCCCCATATAACCCCAATATACTGTAGTAGTTTCCATTGATTACATCCCTAAACCCTAAACCCTAGCCCCAGGATCTCCTCCGCCGCGGAGATCCAAGGAGCTACTGCTTTCCCACCAGGCAAAGTCTTCACCAGCTCACCAGCCAGTACACTGAAACATGTGTAGTAATCACACCCATCACGCGTCTGACACCAGCTCTTGGCCATGGAAGCAGCCATATCCAGTAACCTCGTGCCGGAGGTATTGTTCTTCCTCACAGGGCGGAGCAGCATTGTCACAAATGTGTAGCGCGGCAGTTTCCACTTCACCCGGATAGCTGGTCGGTCGGCATAGTGGTAGTGCATCACCAAGCCCTGACGGTCTGCAAATGACCCAGAAAACTTCATGTAGTGGAGTTGGAGGCAGGTTTAAGGTTTAGGTTTCAGGCCTCCAAAGTATCAGAGTCAACTAGTTCAGAGTGCTCTCGGAACTGCTCTACGGGCATGCCGTAGCGAGCCAGCAGGCGCATGGTAGTCTTGGAGTTTAGGAAGTCGCGAGAAGCCTCCAGCTCCGCCACAATCCGCTGCACCTTGCCGGAAGGAACCTCCAACTGCTGCACACATCTGAAGCCACATCTCTTAGCCACAGAACGCGTCTCAGATGGAGGGAGATGCAGTAGTAGCGAAGCATCCACATCATCTGGGTTGAATTGATTGTCATACTTGCCTGCACATGTGATCACGACACCATCCTTGTGGTAGGCATATCCGTGTCCTTGATCACTCATGCTCAGGCATTCACCGCACAAATACGTCCTGCCGTCTGCAAGGACTTGGATTGCGGAAGGCAGCGCTTCGCCCAGGTCTGCAGAGATCACATCTGCTGCAAGCTGTGTAAAATCCTCCAGGTAGGATTGGCTGCAATTGGCACTGTTCTTGGAAGTAACAAGCCAGTAGTATCGGCCCTCGTGCGAGAAGGCTAACAAGGCAAAAAGAAAGCCAGACCACTTGATGGCAAGCGAAAGGCGGCTCACCCCATCGGTCGATATCGATCTGTACTCGGCATCATTTTTGAACTTTGGATAAAAGCCGCAAAGATGCAAGCGCTGTGTGGCTTGCCATATTATGGGGTATCCACGCGGGAAACCGTGGTCCTCACCCAAATTTCGGAGAAGCTCTGTGTCCTTACTCGTGATCATGACAACGTAGAAGTCTTTTAGGTCGAGGCTCCAAACAAACACGCGCAAGTTCTCATGGCATTGGAGAAGTCCGTGAAGGCGCCGCGCCCTTGGCCCGCCTGAATCCCAAAGAGCCTGACGAAACCTGGCCTTGAGGCCGGGGTCATCCTCCCATCGTGGTAGAAGGCGTGTTACAGAAGGCGGTCCCTGCGAGGCCATGGCTACTTGTAGAGTAAGCTATCAACCCTCCTGGTAACTGCTCCAGCCGCACATCAACCCAAACTCGCAGACTGTGTCTCACTTCGGCCAAATCCTGGAAGCAACGTATGAGCCACAAACTGTGCTGCCAAACTGGGGACTCTGCAGCTGGCTTGTCACCATGTTTCAGACCAGTCCCGTTCATGGAGAGGTCGCGCACCTCAATAAATCAACATGGCCTGAAGGGCCTGAAAGCCTTCAATCTCAGAAGCATGAGGCAAAACTGATATTGAGCGTGTGACCACCAACCTCGGTGGGCCATCCTCCTCCTGCATGTGAGGAATTGTGGAATCGTAACAAGTCCCGAACTGCGCTTTGCTACGCTGCTTGCCTTTGGCGAAAGAATGCGGATCTCCGCATGGAACTGCCTGGGCTGATGTATGCTGTCATGAGTCACGAAGATTCCAGGCAGCGGGGACGTGCTGCGCCCAAACACTGCAGCCTTGTTGCGAGCATCCTCTAAGCTCCACCTGAATGTCATTTCCAGGAGCTCTGCCTTGGGACACATGCACACCGCGTAACCTGTGCAAGAGCTCACTGATGCTGCTCCTTCTGTAGCACGCTGCTTTTCTTGCAGGCTCCTTTGCTTGCACACTTTTCTCCTTGCTTCGGAGCCAGCACCCGCCTGTGCTCTCGCTGAGTCGTAGATATGGCGAGGCACTGGAAACCACTGTGGAACAAATCGTCTTAAAGATCCTTCTGGCGACCACCCTGCTGAGTCTGCGCTTCGAGAAGCTGCTGCAACCTTGGCTCTCGTCTCATCCGGGCGAAACTGCACAGAACTGGCTGCACTCCTTGTGCGAATAAATACTGCACGCACCCGCGCCCTCAGATTCATGGGCTTTGAAAGATCACCTACAACCTATCACGCCCCATTGACCTCCACAATCTACCCACATCCACCCCAGGTCCGCGTAGCCTGCTGCTGCAAGCCTCAACCTCAGCCAGCAGCTTGGCAGTAGCGTCCGAACATCCAATTCGCAATATTCTGATTGCTCTGGATGCTTGTCTTGGTCAAGCAGCCGCAAGCTTGAAAGACTTGATGTTTGGATGTATCTCCTCAAGGAAACGCATGATACTTTGAGGGATTCAAACAGCCAGCTGGAGCAAGCATAGAAAAAAATGCTCTGGCTGATTGCAGGGCAGCGAGTGCCTTCTCATGGCTGGTAAACACGTTGAGAGGTATATGGTATAAGCCTGTATAAGCCATGAGCAGCTGTGACACGGAATCAGGCATGCTGACGTTGTACATGAGTCAGTAGGGAAGCTTGCAAGTACACGTTGAGGCCATGATAGTTAAGAACGGCGGAGGCAAAATAGTAACATGGTTTCCGTCAGACTTCAATGGGCGCATCCCAAGCCGACACTGGTTTGACCACTCATCAGACGGCCACCAAGAACATGGTCCTTCTTTTGCATCTCATCGTGCAACTGCAGCGAGTACACGTATTTCCTCATGGGGCAGGAGTTAACTCAAGGCCGAGCTTCCTTGGGCAACCGAACATCAAAAACAAGCTGCGCCCCTGCATACTCTCCTGGCTCGGTTGCACACGCGAGACACCGCGCTGTACGTAATCGCGTTCGGGACTACCTGATCTAACACATCGCTTGCTGTATCCATTTGCCGTGGCTGATTTGTCCCAGCAAACTGCACGCGTTGCAAACTTCGCGGATCATAAAATCAATAGCTTCACAGCAAGTTGCCCGGCGTGCTGGCATTTCACGCAGCAGCGAAAGAGCAAGCGGCCACTGAGAGGCTGTGATGACAGCACCATAAAGAATAACCTGCACGACGGCCAGGTACAGCTGCTGAAGGCCGGAACACACAACACCTCTCTTGGTCTTATGCGCCTTGTTCTTTTCGCCCTTGTCAGCACCTGTTCGTTCCATCTCATGCAGAAAACGCAGTGCACTGCGCCACCTTAGCAGCTTCCGACTCAACATCGCGCAGGTCTGGAAAGCAAACATGGGCAACTGTCATAAACTGGCCAATACAACATGCAATATCTCGCCATGATGCTGCTTAGCACGGGCGCAGGCAGAAATGAGAATCGCATAGGTCACACCTCTGGCACGCAGATTACGTGCCTGGCACAATACACTGTCCCATGTCACGAAAATGAAGTTGACTTGCAGTTTGCAATTTGTGTCCACTTCTGTGCCTGCATGTCAGTTAGCAGCTCCTTAGCTGCGCATGCACGCTTTTGACAAACAGGCGGCAGCGCCAAGATGCTTCAGTGAGATCTCTAGTTCTCTCCCCTTTCTCACGTGCGCAGACCTGAATCTTACCTTCAGGCCTCTTGTTCGAGCAGGGTAGCAGGAACCGCTACAACTTCTTAGTACCTCTGCAGGTATCTCACGGAAGATCGCAGAAAGGTAGGCAATGCACCCAATCATGTCAAAGTCTCCGTTGCCAGCGGCAATTTGCCACTTTCTGTGCAGCAGAAGACACCAGCTTCAAAGCTGGCAGCATCGTCTGGGGAGAACTCCTTTGCAAGAATCAAATGATGCATGGGTTTAAAAAGACTGCCCGTGTCGACTCGACGAGCGTCCTTCAAAAGGATGAGAGCCTGCTCCCAATGGCCCGCTGCTTGAAATGCACCTCAAATGTACAAACAGCTGACGCGTGAGCTACCTGAGACAGAAAAGCCTGCACTTCTTGCCGAACCAGGGCACCCATGCAACTTCGATACATTCGCCGCCTAGGTGTTGCCAATCACAAACTGAGCAGGAAAATGGATTCACAGCCTGTACTGATACCTGATGCAAGCCATGATTTGCACGCGCTTTAGCCGGGTGTCGTTGTTGGCAAGCCCTGCATAGCGCATCACCAAATGAATAAGCTGACACAGCAAAGCAGCAGCAATGGAGGCCTGGTCTTTCATCTGGCGAATGAGCTCCAGAGCTTGGTCTGGATCACCCGCCCTCTGCGACAAAAGCTTCTACAAATGGTTGGAAGATTTCTACGACTTGTGAGCTGCGACGCCCCTGGCCTGGCAGTGGCTGCAATTGCCTGGACACTGCAAACATGATCTCGCTGTCAACTCATGCCTAAGGGCCTACCACCCACGAGCCTGCTTGTACAAGTCCGCTGTCGGAGAAAGCTTTCGCAGGCGCATGTCTGTCAGCATCCGGGATGCTGCCAGTGCTGCAGAAGTTGAGCTGCTTGCCTTGGAGCCTTTCATTTCAGATAGCGAGCGAGTTATCTTACAGAGTGCATCCATCGCATCATCAAGGCCCTCCTCTTCACCAAGGATGGACTGCTCTTCGGCCAGCAGGCCAATGACTTGCTGCCATTGATGCCCAATAGAGCATGCCTTCATCGCCGCACGGAAGAGCTCTTGATCGATGTCCGGAATGTCACGTGACTCAGCAAAAGCTTGCACGGCTATATGCCACTGCTTCTGCTTCGTGAGCGCTGTCATGGAAGAGGCGACACTGCTTGGAGTCACTGCTTCCGGGCAACCACGCAGCTCCGTAAGGATTTCCAGCACCTGCTCCCAGCTGCCATACTGCGAGCACATTGAAAGGAGCAGCTGAAATAAGGGGATGCGCAGTTTTGAGTCGGCCCGCTCAATGGTGCACGAAGCCGACCAGAAGCGTAAGCTGTCTGGACATTTTGTTCTGAAGTCACAGATCAACCCGAGCGCATGTTCCCATTGGCGCACCCTCATAAGGCCTGAGATTGCGCTTTCGTAGACATCTCCAACTCGCTCAGCGGCAGCACCAGCCGATTGTAGCCAGCGCTGATACACCAACAGCACTTCTTGCCATTGGCCGCGCTCGCTGGCAGCATTCATGATGGCTTCGCTGGCATCTGAGTCAGACTCGAAAACATCCATAAGCTCTTGCAGCGCTGCCTTTCTTCGCAGATTTACATGGCCACCAACCCTTCCACGAAATGGGGGGAATCCAGTGGTTGGCCAGTCATTGCATCTGGTGTGCAGCATAGTCAGCGCAAGGGAGGCAAGGCTTTGGCCAATCATTGCGCTGCTACTTGCAAAACATATCGTATGTCGAATGTCCCAGGATAGATCTTCAAGCGAATCGACTGGCTTATCCTACAAGTGGCCCGTGAGCGGGCCAGGCAAATTCAGGCCTTGGTATCTTCTAGCAAGCAATTGGGGTCCATGCTTCGGTGTCCGATGGGTTGCAGTGCTGATTGCTAATGTGGGCGCCCGCATGTTTTCCTATATGCCTGAACGGCTGCAAGAAGCTATGCGTTCCCTCATGTCAACCCTAGAGGCTGTCAAATGCGTGAAGAAGCATTGGTGACCCGAGGGCAGCACCAATCCGGACACATTTCTGCTTGTCCGGGTCTAGCAAGAAGTGCTTCGGCCTCCAGTGGGCAAGACGAGCAGCATTCTGCATTTGGCATTCTGTTCGCATGTTCGGGCTTTTGGACTGCTGAGTTCTTTGACTCCTTTGACGATGTCCTGAGGCTACCCTGTCCCACTCGTGGTCTTTGTCCCATCTGACGCATGCAGTTTTCCTTGAGCTTGCACACGGCGTCTTCACCCGCTCCGAACATGCAACTCCAGCTCTAGTCCATGCTGGGTCTGCACGGCCTTGAAGCTGTTCCCCGTCCTGCGCCACCTTCTTCTGGAGAATCACAGCAGAGAAACTCTTCCACCCTCTTATGCTGCTGCGGCCTGCCGCCACATTCCAACAGCAGAGTTGCTACGTCTGGTACAAACTTCTGCTTGCATGAAGTGTCGCTGCTAGTTTCTGCTCCTGCTCTGAGTTTGGCAGCTTGGTGCTTCGGCGCAAGGTGTCTGAAGTAACACCATCAAGCTTCTGGTCCACAGTCTGCCGAATCTTGACATTCAGCCGTTTTGCCTCAACTTCCTGCCATGGATCACTTGACAAGCTGGAAGCAAGATCAATGAGGGTTTGGAAGCTGCAAAGTGAAAGCCGCACATGTTCAAGAAGATCGGGAACATCCTGCGAACGCGCGCTCTTGTCGACAGCTGCCCATCTTTCGATGATCTGCAAAGACTGGGACTCATCTTCGACGTGCAGCTCGTCACTGGCCAGAACTGCTTGCATGCATGCGGCATTCAGAGACAGAATCCGCTCTTCCAAACCTGTCCTCATGCTGATAGAACTTGCCAGCACATCCGCAGCCACTGCAGAAATGTTGCGAATGGAAAAGTTCAGCCCAAGCTCCAGATATGGTGCCGCATTCCTGAAACAAACAGGCTCTCGGGCCATCATTAATTCACCGTACGTGGCTTTCAAGTCGTCCAGGCCCCAATTGTCAGCGAAAGTCAAGATCTCATGAGCATCATGGAGCGGACGCACGTCAAAGGTTACACGGCCTTCCATCATGAACCGGACAACAATCTCCAGCATCTCGGGCGCGGCATCGACCTCTACCACGGGAAGTTGGGTTTGCTCTGGTCCAGCAGCATCCGCAGCTTCCACCGTCTCCATCAGCGATTGGAATTGAGGGCTCCAAGTTGCCACGACATTTCGGCGGCACTTGTACACTCTGCCCCTGGGCGCCCTCAGGGCAACATCGCTGTTTGAATGGAGACGTGCCAGCTGCCGGGTCAAGGCAAGGATAGTGGACCTTAAGGCTGGGCCCTCATCCATGCCCTGCTCTGAAGGATCCTCTGCCTTCGCTTGTTGGGGATGATCTTGCCAATCGACACGACCAACCGCTTCCTGTCCCTTCTCCTCCTCCTCCTCCTGTGCCTCCTCCTCCTCCTTTGCCTCCTCCTCCTCCTCCTGCTCTGTTATCTCCGCTTTCTGCCCCTCATCTTCCTCATGCACTTGCTTCTCCTCCTCCTCGGCATCTTCTGGCGGCTCTGCCGCTTTCTCGAGCCCTCCTCCCTGCATCCCGCCTTTGCCTGCACATGAGGCTGTTCTAACACTGATGGCACAGAAACCTCAACAGGTTGAGCCGCTGCAAGGTACTGCAAAGTCTGCAAGAGTTTAACCCAAGAAAATCTTGAGCAGTTCAACTGTATGCAACTGAATGCTGCGAATGCGCCGCTGACGACCAAGGCCAACACCCCCTGGTCGAGGCACCTCAGCCATTGCACATATCGCGCAGTGGGTGCCATGCGGAGAGCTTCAGGTCCCGACATCCTGACCCTTCAGGGGTGATTGTGAAACCAAGCGATGTCACGCCTTCCGCCATCACCTGGACATGCGCTTCAGCAAAAGAATCTGCTCCACAGACCTACTTGTATGCAGTGATTTCTGAAAAGTAGGGGCCCCTTTTTGAAAGCGCATAACAAGGAACGTAATACGGGTAGAAACGGCGACCCAAGTTTTGGAAGTTGCGACAGCCTGCGTCCCCCTGTGGCCGACGCAAGGCTGCCGGCCGTCAAGGGAACCCTCCCGTGCCAAGATGCTGCAGGAACAGCACATAGGGTTCCAGCATGATGCGCTGACTGTGGCAAAATGTGCAGTAAGTCATGTCTGCTGAGCACCATGGTTGGCTTTTCTTGTCGATAGATGTACTCTCGACCTATGCCTCGAGTTGCACTGATGCTGGTGAATCTCTGCAACAGCTTCAGAATGCACTCCAGTCGACAAGATCAAAGCGTACAAAGCTCCTGAGGAGATCGGACAATCATCCTCAAAAGCGGTCCCTGAGTACCTGTGGTCGCGTTGGAAAAGTCGGAGCTGACCATTGGCCACTTCTCATCCGACACTGTCTGCACCTGTAAGGAGATGCGAAACTGTGTATCAACACGTATCATTAGATGGCAATGAGCCGAGTACAGACTACATGCATGTAAGATGAGTTGATTTCCAAGATGATACATGCTTTACCTTTTGGTTACCTTCGTCACCTGCGCGGTGGATCTCGAGTCTGAAACAGCCGGTGCGGGGATGCGGTTTCACATGCTAGCCGCACCGGAGCCTAGCAGCCACCAGGAAGTTGGCCCAAATGAAGGAAAGCTCGCAAGCTGGATCAGTTCCGTTGGCTCAGGGCTTGCAGCACTGCGTGACATGCGTGCGAAAAAGCACATGTATCGAAGGACTTTATGGCTATGAACGGAACTGGCCGCAGCTGTGGAAACTCGGGGCTGCATGGGGGCAGGAAACCTAGGGCAAACATCTGGAAGAGGTTACCCCAGGCAGACGTCGTAGTGAAGCATCCGCCGGCCCTTGTGAGCCTTCGCTTGGGGCGATAGGCAGGCTCGGCGCTGTGCTCGTCTCAAGCCTTGCCCCACTGAGCGTTCTTGCATCCACAAGCAATCGATTCAACAGCCCCCGCCTTGCGTAGGAACCTCTTGATGAGCTCCCGGCCGTAGAAGGGGCAGCTTGAGTTGGAGATCCACGAATTGAGGGGCTCGCGTGCTCACCGCACCTAGGCTGAATCTGGGCACGGCATGCGTCGGTTTTTTGTAGGGCTTTGGTCACCAAATACGTTGGTGCAATGCTTGAAGAAGAGAGCAGAAGACAGGAAGTACTGGCACCAACTCCGCCAACACGCTACAGCACGGTCCGCATTTTGTGTTTAGATATTGCAGAACCCTCACTACCCTGGTTTTGTAGGCTGTGCTCAGGCTACAAGTCCTAGAGACAGGGCAGGAGAATTAAAATTTGCGCGGTATGCATTCACACTGCTATCACAACGAGACAAGTGCGCAACTTTCAACTCCATTTATGCAAAACAGCGATTCAAGGACAACCTGCTTCAACCTCGCTGCGTCCCTTCACTCAGTTGCTTGTCCGAATGTGGTTGTTCTGCAGTGCTCCTCCCTCTTTCTTCCCTTTTGGCCGCTGTGAAGGAAGAGTGGAGGGAGTTGCGGAAGATGCGCTACCCTTGTCCGAGCAGGCGGGGAGCTCGGAGTGAGCTCGGGAGATGCATAGAAGACTTTGCTTCAGGGCGCAGGAGGCAAGCCAGCTCTCTGCTCATCTCCTACTAACTGCAGGAAGTGCAGGGCCCACCTGGCTGCGTCCGGCTGCGCCCGGGTCCATTCTCAGCCACACGCCAGCAGCTGAACCCTCAGTGCCGCTGCGAGCCGAAGTTCGAGCCGTAGAACCCGCGAAAAACACGCATTTACTTTTCCATCCCGGGCCGGCCGCATTCGCATGAGACACTTCCATGCACCCGTGGTGTGCTGCCATCTGAGCACCTCAACCTCGGCAGCGCCGGCCTCGAGCAAAACGAAGCCAAGCTGCTGCACAAGCAGGGCGCGACGGGTCGCTTTACAAGCCCCAAACTTACAAACCGCCGCATGGCATCCCAGGCAGTCCATGCCTTCGCCGCAGCAGCCGTTCGCCTGGCTGCGTGGTTGAAGGCGCTATCCATCAGCTTGGTGTCCTCACCCGCCATGAGCAGACAAACGAGGACGGCGCCGGCACCAAATAGCAGAGCACCAATGCCCCCCCACACTGAGTGCTTCCAGCACTTGCCACTGGATGCCAGAGGGCACGCTTGCACTTGCGAGATCGTCGGCCCGAAAGCGTGATGCCAGTGGCCCGCCAACGCCCACGCACAAGCTGATCACACACAAGCTTTGGAAGCAAGGTCGAATCTGCAGAACAGAAATGAGAGGAGCCTGGTGTACACACATCCTCGACAATGTGAAGGGGGGTTTTACTGCAGCAGCTTGCGCGACAGCACAAACAAAGCCTGCAGAATAGGCCTGCCCTGAGATGATTTTAAGTCTATCCCGTGACCTGATCACACCATATAAGATAAGCCAAGCGCCGCGTGTCTGAGTGGGATCGCAAAATCTTGATGTAAACGAGACTTTGCAACAAGATTTACTCAGGCGAAAGACAGGACACATATACGTTGAGCCGCAACGAGGCATAATGTGGAAGAATCTGGGGTCAAAGGCAAGCAGCTAGAATGACGTTGGAGTCGTTGCTACCCTTGATAACAAGCACAGCAGACTGCCAGGAGCGTGAGGAACTATGTTGCAGACACTTCTGCTGGTTCAAGCTGTTGTTCTGACAATCACCCTTGCACACGTGAAGGAATTCATTTTTCATTTAAACTGCTTGGAGCTCCAGGCTTTAAGCTGCGCGGAGCAAACTGGCCCCAAGGCCGCAATGTTTGCCTGACAATGTATTTCATTCTCCCAGATTGCAGAGCAGCATGTAAACCGTCCAGTAGCCTCTGCACGACTCTTACTAACTTCAAAAGTCAGAGCTGAGGACCGGAAGAATAACTCGGCAAGCCCAAGCGCGCCGAGAACACCCTTTCCCGTCTACGAATAGGGTCCAGGGGCTACTTTAGAGGAGTAGTATTGTGTGCCAGGCGACTCTGCCTTCTTCCGCGCTTCCCATGCTTCCGTGTTCTTGCGAAGATGTACAAGCAGCCTGTCCTGTTGCACTCTTGCGGAGCACGACACATGAAAGAAAGACAACCACGGCCTTGACTCTGTGCTGCAGCTCTGCCAGGAGGGCGAAAGTAGGCTGGACAATGATGGTAAAGAAGCCAACCTCCAGGTGAAGGCTTCACATTAAAGTAAGGCGAGAATTCATGGAGCGCCTGCGAGCTTGCGAACCGCACGGTATCGCGATCACAGAGTGGAGATATGGGCAGTCCAAGCTGCCTCTCCTGGCGTTAACATGTCTTAGGCAAAGCCGAGAGCTGACAAGTGACAACCTATGCCTACAACATACAAAGGGTCAAACTCCGTCACTTCCTCTCTCCGCGCCTGGTCTCCTTGGAGGAAGAACTCTTGCCGAAGCAAATCCTTGTTGCAGGAATGTACCCCTTGCTGGCAATATCTCTCTCCTTGTGGCATTCTTTGGAGGGAACCCTGAAGCCCAAACTCCTGACTGCCTCCTTTGTGAAAGTAGGCGTCGTCGTCGTCGCCGCCGTCGTCATCGTCGTACTAGTAGTAGTAGTCGTCGTCGTTGTCGTCGTCGTAGTTGTTGTTGTTCTAGCAGCAGTAGCAGTAGCAGTAGCAGTAGCAGTAGCAGTAGCAGTAGCAGTAGCAGTAGCAGTAGCAGTAGCAGTAGCAGTAGCAGTAGTAGTAGGAGTAGCAGTAACAGTAGCAGTAGCAGTAGCAGTAGCAGTAGCAGTAGCAGTAGCAGTAGCAGTAGCAGTAGCAGTAGTCGTAGTAGTCGTCGTCGTCGTCCATGCTCTTGATTAATAAAACCCCTAAGATTTAAAGAAAATTTCGTGGGCAAAATTTGGTGGTCAAAGACCTTTCAAGGCGGACGCAGGTTTTGAGCCAAAAACCACCTAAATTCAAAGAAAATCATTAAACCCTAAGAAAATGAGGCTCCAGGTAAATTTTAGGCTCCAGAACTTAAACTTGCAACCTAAATCTCGGGCCCTATACGGCCCTGTACCCTAATCATACCTCAAACCTGTTCTGTATTTCTGGGAAAGCAGTAGTAGGGCCTTACTAACTCCAGTCTTTCAAGAGGGTCCCGCAAACTGGCCTTGCTTGCTAAACTTTATTAGGAATTTCAGAGACAAACATTGTTTCCTGAGCTTCCCCTTGATTACGGCGATTACGGGTGCTGCTGCATGGCTTAATAGACAAACCCACCCACAATAATAGAAAACATCCTGACCATTTCCCTGTAGCAACCAGACCTGCTTGAAGAGGCTGCAACGTTCTGGCATGCAAAAATTTGAATAGCAGAGAGGGTCCCGCCAAACAGGACTTGCTTACTAAACTTTATCAGGAATTTCAGGGCCAAACATTGCT